GTCACCGCCTGGCAGCTGACCCCTGCCTGGGAAGGAGCATACAGGAAGCTTCCTAGAGGCCTTAACACCAGCAGCCCCCACCAGGAACCTCCCATGGGTCAGACCTGCTGTCTTCGTTGCTCGCGCTGCTGTGACCGATGACCCCAAATGAGTCATAAACAGCTGGACTGTTTATTTCTCAATTTGAGGCTTGGACAGTCCAAAACCAGTGTGCAGCACGTCCTCTGGTTGCAGGCAGCTGGCTTCTTGCTGTGTCCTCAACGTGGGTGAGTCTCTTTCTGCCACACCTTGTAAGGGCACTAATCCCATTCTTGAGAGCTTCACCCTTGCAACCTCCTAAAGGCCCTACTTCTTAATGCTGTCACCCTGGAGGTTAGAATTTCAGCATATGAGTTTGGGAGGAGGCAATATCCAGACCGTAGTTCCTGGTGAGCCTGCCCTGAGGCCATGTATGTGTTTGGTCATTCCTCATGTTGCCTGGACACCAGGTATGCTCTGACCAGCAAGAAGCATCAGTGCCACATAGCAGACAGGTGCTGGAAAATACCCTGCACCTCTGGCCCCAGAAGAGGCCTGGACAGGAAGACCAGGCTCAGTATGAGCCCTGTTCCCAGGCCCTTGAAGGGACACAAAGGCTCTGGCTCTATTAATTGCTTGTTACACTTGATACCCACTGCGCTAGGCCAGCCTAGCAGCTTCCACAGGCCTCCAGGGCATATCAACAAAGCCCTCCATCCCTGCCTGGTCCTGTCTTCTTACCCTTCTCCCTGCCCATTGTTTAGGGTCTGGGCTGTGCTAGCATGTCCTGAGCTCTGGCCTCTGGTGACCAGGCCTTGTCTGAGATCAGGCGAATCTATTGGCCATAGCACAATACATGTTGAGGACATGCCTGATATTAAGATACCAGGTGTCGCCAAGCATAGTGGTACACATCTGTAATCCCATTTCTTAGGAGGCTGAGAAAGGAGGATGGCCATGAGTCTGAGGCCAGCCTGAACGACGTAGTGAGTTCAAGGCCAGCCTGAACTACAAAGCAAGACCCTGTCTCAAAAAAAAAAAAACCAGAAAACACCAGATGTCCTTCATCCCAGTCTGTGCTAAGCACTAACCCTGTACAGAGCACTGCATGAGACCGTGAGAACTCAGGAAGCCAGCCCTGCCCTGAGGGACAGGAGCACACAGCACAGTGCTGACTTGGGATGGCCACTGCACTGCTGTGGGAAATAGGGGCGGGGTGCAGGGGGGGCTGCACCGATGGAGCACTCGGAGGCAGGGCTACCTGTCTGAGGAACAGAAAGAAGGAAGCAGGGGCCCATGAGGACGGAGAGGTGAGGCTTTATAGTCTACAGTGAAGAGTTTGGAGTTTAGCAATGATTGGAAACTATTCATAGAGCTTAAACGGGAAGATTAAGTTTGACTGTGAAAACTAGAGACCCTAAAAATAGTGGATTAAATAAGACAGAAATTTATTTTAAGTGTTAAAAAAACATTTAATGACTTCAGATAGTGTGGAATTTCCACAGGACCTAGGCTGATTTTAGGTCACCGCTCCACCGTCCCCTGGGTGAAGAGTTTCTCTGATCCAAGTTGGCTGCTACAGCTCCAACCATTACATCCCAGTCCTGGGCATTAGGAAGGAGGAAGTGAGAGAAAGAGTGGCCTTTCTCTTTAAAATTACATTTCCAGGGCCGGGAATATAGCTCAGTGGCACAAATGCCTGCCTGGAAGCGCAAGGTCCTGCGTTTGATTCCTGGTACCCAATAAATAAATAAAGTTACAGTTCCAAATACTTCCCCACAGTTCAGTGCATCTCTCACTGCACATAACTTGTCATGGGATTACACCTAACAGCAATCAAAACCGGGAAATGCAGCCTGTCAGTTGGATGTCATTGTATGCAACCAGCAAAAAATTGGGGAGTTCTTTTTCTAAAGAAGGAGAGAGTTGCCGTTAGGGGAAAACTGATGGCCTCCTGTGTGGTGCCCAGACTGGAGAGGAGCAAGATGCAACCGGGCAGCGTGGAAGGAAGCGGGGCTTGAGCAGCTGGGTCTGAGCAGCGGGGCTGGTGGTGGCATCCTGAGTGTGCCGAGCTGGGGAAGATGATGTGGGAACAGGAAGGAGGTGAAGGAGTTGCTAGCCCGGGAGCTCCCCTGCCCCAGCTCACCTCGGGGAGGAAGGAAATTGGAAGACTAGACCCTGGCTGTCCCTGGGAGGCATCCCAGGAACTCACCTCACGGGCTGTCTACGTCTCATCACAGTGGGAACCATAAATTCCATGTCCTGCATGGAGGAACAGACAGGGTGGCTTTGTAGGGGTTGCACCGTTTATACGTACGGGGCCCCATGCACCCTGGATGCAAAGTATGGCGTGGCTCTGAGCACTCAGACTGGAGTGGGCTTCTCCTGCCTGGCCGAAAGTCAGGCCTAGACTGCCCTGCTGACTCCCAAGGCCTGATCTGCTCTGCGTGGGTCACTTCACGGAGGGTGGCACAGAGGAGGAGGTTTGGGAAACCATGGCTTGCATCACAGGTGGGAAGTCTGAGCCCTGAGGGCAGCCTTGCCCCAGAAGCTAGAGCAGGCTGGGGCCCTGACTCACAGGCCTTAAAAAGTTGAACTGTTTTTAGCCGATGGTGGAGGTGCCACTCCTGCTCACCCACTTGCTCCTCCCTGAGTCATCAGCACCTACCCAGGCTTCAGGTCAGCTTTCCAGGTCACTGCTGCCAAGGAGGCCTCCAGCAGCCCAGGTTTCCTGTTGGGTACCCCCGTCCCATGAGGGTGGCTTGGGACCAAGGGCCAGTGTAGTTGACTGGATTTGGATCCAAATCAGCATTGTGGTCTTCGCCTTCCAGCCCTCATGTCAGTGGCCTCTTCCTTTGTGGGGTAGGCAGTAGGGAAGGGGACAGCTTCAAGAACTTTCGTACCAGCCTTCTGCAATGGGTAGTCTGACGTGTAAATAGCTACTTAGCCAGACAGCTCAGTTCTGGAAAAGTCTCCAAGAAGGCTTTGGCCCTACTTACTTTTGTGTAGAAACTTTTGTTGCCCACAAACCTTCCAGGTGCTGACCCAGTTTCCTTTGTTTCTCCCACCCTAAAGGAGGCCTACAGGTTCTCAAGCACACCCCACCCCACTCACTTGCCATGGGCTGGGCAGTCTCTCTTCTGCTGTCACTGGAGGGATAGGGTTAAAAGGACTCACTGCAGAGCAACCACTAGGTACTTATAGCCACAGCCATGAATAAAACCCCACTCAGGAGGGCCCATGGAGTCAAAGAGATAGGGTCTTCTGTACCCCACTCGCAGGCCAACAGGCTCAGCCCAACAGGGAAGGTACCTGGAGGAAGAGCCAGGAAGTGCTGGGCACCCACCACCCCGCCTTTGGATCTGTCCCTCCAGTGCCATATGTCTTACTGAGTGTACCATTTTTCATATGAGACAAGCTTAACAGGGCATATCCCCAGTCACTGGTATGACCAAGACCTGTGTCTGCCAACCCATGGAGAAGCCTCTAAGAGCACAGCTACCAGAGAGAAGCAGGAAAGTGTCAAGGTATTCTGGTCCTGAGCCTGGGTTCCTTCACCCTCTCTGTGGCCCCTTGGGATCAGGTGCTGCTGTCTGCACACAAAGGTCATGACTAACATGAGTGACTGCTGTGTTATTAACTATTGCCACACCACTGCCATGGAGCGGGCCTCCCCTAAACCCAGCCACTGTGTTCAGCTGAGCATCAGAGCTCCAGGGCAGCCTCAGCTTTACGTGGCACAAACTAGCTCTGGGCAGAGGGCACAGATCAAGAGGGTGAAGAAGTAGCCTATCCAGCAGCTCCCAGGCTTCCTCCTGAGGAGGCTGTGAGGTTCTGAGGACGTGGAGTGTGCACACAAAGGTCCTTTGTAAACTGTAAAGCGCCGTCTGCATGTGTGAGCTGTGCTGATGGTCCCGTCTTGTGACTTGTGACTTCTCCAAGAGCCCCCTGCGCTTTCACTGCACTCTCGGTTTAGAGATTACACGTCCTTGATTGCAGTCACTGAAATTGGGGACACATTTGTTGTCTCCAAGAATGACATAGTAAGCACACAGTGCTTTCTCTGCGTGTCCAGGGGTCCTGTATGCCTTAAGCAAGTCCAGCTCCACCCCTCAGATGAGGAGGAGCGGAAGGAGGCCGAAGGAGAGGCTCCCAGTCTCAGTATTTGTCCCTTTACCCTTCCGTTGCTTAACCAGGCCTGGGTTCCCCTGGTAACCGCAGGCCGCAAACACATAGCTATGCATTCTTATGTCTGATAATCTGAGCAACTTCGCTGAAGGTTACAATATGTAATATAACAACCACTGTTAATTCCTATCACCTTGTTTTGAAATCCTGTATCATTTTTACTGTTTTTATGTTCTTTTGTTTTTGTCTTCATTGTTGTTTTTTGGGGATTTTTTAATTTTTTGGTTTTTTTAGACAGGGCTCACTATGTATCTCAGGCTGGGCTTGAACTTACTACCTAGCCCAGGCTGGCCTCAAACTCATGCCAATCCTCCCACCTCAGCCTCTTGAGTTCTGGGGTTACAGGCATGAGCTACCATGCCCGGCCTATAAGTTCTTGAAATGTATAGTATTGACAGTTCCATGGGGGTGAAATACCTCAGTCAACCATAATGCTCAAATAATCAGAAATTTGCTCCACCCTGGGAAACATATGTAGGAGACTGCAACAGTAGCCAAGAACACTGATTTTTAAGTTTCTTTCCCCAAGAAAATGCTGGTACAAAACCCCAGTATTGAAAACAGGAGAGCAGAGCTGCCCCAGTTGAGCAGCAGGGTGAGGAGCAGAGCCCTGTGTCCCGCACTGCTTTAGAGCTTACGTGGGACAGAGGCCTGAGCGGCCCTGGTATCCTGGGCACAACACGGATTGGGCGCCTCCTGAGCAAGCCGGCACTCTGCCTAGCAAGTCACGCTGCACTCCCAGCTGGGCAGAGCCCCATGACGCCTCAGAGCCTGGGGTCCCTCTCTCCCTGCAGGCCGATGCCAAGATGGTTTGTGACGTGGTGAGTCGCATGGAAGACACTGAGCCCTTCTCCGCCGAGCTGCTTTCTGCCATGATGCGACTCTGGGGTGACTCAGGAATCCAAGAGTGCTTCAACCGGTCTCGGGAATATCAGCTCAACGATTCTGCCAAATAGTGAGTGTCCCCTGCAGGTGGGAGGCCTGGAGCTGGGTGGGCGGGGTGGGGCCTGGTAGGGCCATTCCTGCCACTGCTGGTAAGCATCAGGAGGAGCAGGGGCTTTCCTTCCTGCGCCCAGGATAAGGAGGCCCAGGAAAGGAGAGGCCAGGAGAGACCAAACAGGAAAGTCGCCTCCCCAGGGTCAGGACTTGCCACCTTCTTGGCCTGGACTATGCCCGCACTCAGAATGAAGGTTTCAAGGTAGCAAATTTTTTTTCTTCAAGAAACTTTGACCACATAATTACCAACCAAGGGCCATACAGGCAGAACATAACTCAAATAGTGTCATTTCATTTTATTTTGGAGAAAACAATAACCTTTTACAACTGGAGATCTAGTTCAGTGGTAGCATGTGCAGAGCCCTAGCTCAATCACCACAACATAAATGCACTACAAAACAATTCTGATATCTTAATAAAGTTTCCATTCCTCTAACTTTAAAATTAAAAATAAGGAATGAGAACTAGACGTAGTGATGCACACCTACAGTCCCAGCACTCTGGGAGTCTGAGGCAGGAGAGTCACAAGCTGAAACCCAGCCTGGACAACTTAATGACCTAGGAAGACCTTTTCTCAAAGTGAAAAGGGGGGAAGGGGCTGGAGATGCAATGTGGAGGCCCTGGGTCAATCCCCACTATCACGAAAAGTTTTTTTAGAAAAGGCATCAGTAACATCATTCAAAAAATAGAATAATCAGATATTACTTCTTATTATGTAATAACCGAATGAGGAGAGATTGGGAGGGACGAAGTGGTGGAGAAGAGTAGAGGAAGTAGAGAAGAGTAGAGGAAGTAGAGAAGTGGTCAAAGCCAGAGTGGGTGAGAAGAGCTAGAGAAGGGAAAGGCAGAGAAAGGGCCTCAGGCTCTTTAGGCCCACCCAGCAGCTGTATGACTGTTGGACACCCTCACAGTTACTGTCCTCAGAGATGGGAAGCTCTTGCAATGGAATGTCTTCTGCCATGCAGGGGCTAGGATTGCTTGCATCGTGGTGCCCAGGAAAAAAACCCACATTTGCAATCTCGTTCCCAGGCTTTCAGTGGGGGCTTGCAGTGAGGAGCCCCTGGGCTTTCACCCACTGTCTGAGGACAGTATGTGCTCTGACCTCATCTGATTCAGCCACTGTCACCAGTGCTTCTCAGCTGGAGCCATTTTGCCGTACCCCCAGGACATTCAGCAATGTCTGGAGGCTCATGGCATCTAGTGGGTAGGGGCCAGGGATACTGCTAAACATCTCTCCTCTGAAGTAGGTACCACCAAAGAAATATTTGGCCCAACATTAATAGTGAAGACATGGAGAAGCCCTGTGCTGCTGTTAACAGGCTGAGCTAATGGAGCAGCACTCACAAATGGACAGTTGGGGATTTTCATTGATGGGGATGACAGCTAACAGACAAGGGATTCCAGTAAGGCTAGAAGCATCTTCCCATTTCCACACACCTAGACTGCCCACAGGGCAAATGCCTAAGTCCTCCCAGTCCCAAGCGGTAGCCGCACTGCCCCCAAACTGCTGAGCCTTGATGGGAAGGGACCCAGGCTCCTTGGGCACACTCAATTCACAGAGCCAGAGCCAGGCCTCCCAAGAACTCAAGAAGCCAGACAGTATTCCTTTCACCTGGGTGGCCCTCAGAGCCTGCAAAGCCTCCTTCCTTCCCTTCCTCCCTGCCCACACTGGGAGGGGCAGCAGAACCCTCCAGGGCCGCGACGCACCAGCTGGCCCCTTCAGGCTCATCAAAGCATGCTCTTCACTTACACTTTTACGTACTGCATTAATTATACAATGAATACATTTCAAAAACAGTTTCTAAACAACAGATAGGGGTACAAAATGAAGAGTAATCTCCCTCTCCCAGTCGGGTCCCCTTTGCTATTAATTATTCCACTTTCTTGTCCTGGTGGTGAAAAAATAAGTTGATCTTGCAACTTTAAGTAGAATATTTCTTGACCCCCTCCTGTAGGATATGAGGAATTCGGCTCACCTTCCTTCTCCCACCCCTTTCCACACCCACCTCCAGTTTTTTGCTGGTTACAGGATTATTTTTAGTTCTTCCGGTGGGGATCATTACAACGTTAAATAAGAAACTAAAGTCGGTATTTGTCAACTCCCCACCAAGTGAAGCTGAGGAAATTCACCTTCTCTACATATTCCTTCTCTACCCCCTCCCCCTTCTCTCTCTCCCTCTCTCTGCCTCTGCCTGTCTCTCTGTCTCTCTCTCTCTCTCTGTCTCTCTCTGTCTCTCTGCCTGTCTTTGTCTCTCTGTCTCTGTGTGTCTGTTTGCCTCTCTCTCTCTCTCATCTCACATCTCTCATCTCTGCCTCCTTCCAGATTTTCCCCTACCAGGATTTCCACTTAGGTCCCCTGGCTTCCTCTCTGGGACAGAGTTGCGCAGCACGGAAGTGGGGACACTCAGACCATAAGGGTCCGAGGGGCTTAGATACAGTCCAGGACTCCGGTGTTGTTTTAGCAGTTAAATCTCAGCTTCTCCCCAAATCTTAGGCCCAATATATAAAGCAAATGAAAGGAAATGTGTTGTGATAGAAGGGAGACGGAGGCCTCATAGGGCTGTCACACTGCACAGCTCCAGGGAGCACCGGTGACACACCAAAGCCCCAGTCACCACATAGCCTGCACCCTGCGCATTAAGGTGCAGGCTCAAGCTCGGAGGGGAAAGCGACATGGTCTGTGTTGTCTGTTGCTCCTGAGCTGAGCTCTTTCCCCTCTCCATGTGCCCACGCCTCTGCCAACAGCAGCCAGCTCTCCCCTGGAGTAAGCACTCGGAGGCAAGTCCCAACAAGCCAGAAGGCCTTCCTGTGCCCAGCCAGGGACGGGAAAAGTTTCCATGCCTTGCTTGGTTTTGGTTTTCCCAGACGCTGTCCCCACTGAGTCGGCCCTGCTGGCCATCGAGCTCCTTCACCTACCGAGCCTGCTCGTGGCCTCTCGGCAAGCCCAGGCCTCCTGCAGCCCCTGCTCCCTGGATGCTGGCCTCGGCTCCAAACTGGCTGCCCTCGTGCTCCCTGCACATCTCTCCTGGAGGCCTGAGCTCTCACCTCAAACCTCTTCCTGCCAAAGCCTGGTCCCTGGGCAGTCTCCAGGCCCACATGGTTTTAAATTCCTCACACACCTGGACCGCTTTCAAATGGACACTGCGGGTCAGCCCTCTCTCCTGCCATCTGCCTCTGTGGTGTGCATCGGGACGTTCAAACAAACCTCAAATTAAAACGAGGCTGTGGAACTCGAGTCCACCCTCCCCAAGGGCTGCTGCCTCCCTCTTCCCTCCCATCAGCTGAGTCTTCACTGTCACAGCGAGGCATTTGAGGCTGCTGCTCTCCTATCCCTCACCCTGAGGCACCAGCGAATGTGGCTGATCAGACACATCCAGAATGTATCTGCCTCCCGTCATCGCTCACCTTCCCCCCACCCCCACAAGCTCCCCCAGAGCCAGCAGAGCCGAGGCTCCGGCAGCCTTCCCAGGGCTGCCCTCTCACCCAGAGCAAAAGCTCAGGTCCTTACCCACACCCCAAGGGCCTGCATGCTGTCCCCATCCTGCCTGCTACTCTCCTCTGTGATCTACCCAGTCCCACCCGGGCTCACCACCTTCTGCCCCTGCTGTGTGAGCTTCCTGCCTCACTACTCCCTGCCTATGCAGGCTCCTCCTCCGCTCCCGTACTCTCCCCTGGGTCCCCGTCCAGAAACCTTCCCCAGCCCGCCTGCAGGCCTCGCAAACAGCAACCTGGTGCTTTCCTCTGACACTTGCTACCTCTCTTGCTCGCATGTGCATGCACACGCGTTGGTCCACTGACACCTGTGTCAGTCATGGCCCATGTCATTGCCCACCCTGGCATGTGGGGCAGTGGGCAGAAAGGAGGCAGAGCAAGTGCACATGGTCCCTACCACATCCCTGCCTTCCCACTGCCATCTTGTGTGAGACAGGCAGGAGCCAGGTCATGTGTCCAAAGGAGGTTTGCCTGGCTGGGATGCGGGGGGGGGGGGGGGCAGGGAGACCAGGGGTCCCCAGGCCCAGTGTCCAGCAGGGGAGAGAGCAGGGTCAAGGAGACCCGCACAACCTGCAAGCAGATCACAGGGCAGCCTCAGCTCCCTGGCCCTCCCATCCCACCAAGCCTTCACAGAGAGTAGTCAGACTCCCCAGAAGAGGCCCTGAGAAGAGCGCTGATTCCAAAGGCCTGGGTCCCAGAGCCTTGTGTGTCCCTGAGCACCACGCCCATCCCTGCCCCCTTCCCAGAGCATCCACTGGGAAGAGGCGAACAGATCCTTTGGTAAATAAGAAGGAATTGTGGGAAAGCAGGCAGAGCCCAGGGCCTCTCAGAGCGCACTGAGCACTAGGACGAAGACGCTGGAACCCAGCAACTAGGTCAAGCCGTGCACACAGTCCTTACTTGCACTGAGCCTCGGTTTTCTAATTATGAAACAGTAAGTACACTTGATACAGGGAAAGTAAGGCTGGAACGTGCTCACATGTAAAGAGTAAACCGGCGGGGTGTGGTGACACACACCTGTAATCCAGCGGTCTAGGAGACAGGCAGGATAATCGGAAGTTTGAGCCTAGCCTGGAGAGGCAGTTTAGCAAACTGGTAAGAATCTGTCTCAAATTAAACAAGAGAACTCAGTCACATAGCTCAAATATCGCATGGTTTGTCCTATATGAGAAACACAAATGTAAATATACAAGTAAAGAGCAAAACAGACAGATAAATAGGAGATAGAAGTTCAACTGCTTCCCCAAGTTACGTATTTTCTTCTTGCAAAAATATTTTAATATATATGCTAATTCATTTCATTTATAGTACTAGCTTATCTTAGATCATTGAGAAGAAAGTTTTGTGTTATTATCTGTTTCTTCTTTGTAAGAATCTTTTTGGTTTATGTCTTATACTTTGAGTAACTACTTTGACGATAACAATACACAGTGTATTAACTTGTTAATCTCTTATTATTTTGCCATGAGATTTGATTTTTTCATAAAGTAGAAAATACAAAAGAGGCGAGGATGTAGCTTAGTGCAAACACTCTAGGTTCAATTCCCAGTACCACTAGATAAATAAATAAGTGAACACACCTAACGGCCAGCCATTATTATTTTTAAAATAAAGAAATGGAAGCGGGGCATTGTGGCACATGCCTGTAATCCCAGCACTTGAGAGGCTGAAGCAGGAGGATCACCATGCGTTCAGGACCAGCCTATATAGAGGCCCTCAAAAAAACTACATAGAGACTCTGTCTCAAAAAAAATAAATAAATAAAATGAAGACCTAGAAATGACAGGATGGTATTATAAACATGGTTGTCCCACCTAGGAATTTTGTCTGAGTGTGCCAGACAAGATTCCCTCGGGTCTGAATGACAGGTTCTTTGAGACCTGGAGGCCAGGACCTTATGGTCCTTCTGTCTTGATTGTCCCCACACCCCCTGGCTGGCCCCTCCAGTTACCTGTGAGGGCCCCCAGCTGATACTGGGCTCTGCAGGTAAGTGGCCCTGAAAACCCAGAGCAGTGCCCAGGTCCCTGGTCCATGGCACCTTGTGTGTTGCCCTCCCCAGCTACCTGGACAGCCTGGATCGGATTGGGGCCGCCGACTACCAGCCCACTGAGCAGGACATCCTCCGAACCAGGGTCAAAACCACAGGCATCGTAGAAACCCACTTCACATTCAAGAACCTCCACTTCAGGTGAGGCCCAGGGAGACCGCCAGGCCCTGGTGAGGGTGGTGGAGAGATGGGAGACCCCCAAGGCAGCCTCATCTCACCTGGTACAGCCAAATAGCGCCCCGCCACAGAGCGCTTTTGGCACTGGGACAGATCACCCGTCTGTGCTTGTTTTCCGCCACCTTCAAGGACCAGGGTGAGCAAGCGGGCTTCCTGGAAGAGGAGTCGTGAAATGAGGCTGTGAGGACAGGGAGGGTTTGGATGGAAAAGGAAGTGACTTCTGAGGAGAAAGAGGTGGTGGATAAGCCCAAGAGATTCCGGTGATCCTGGGGACTCAGGACAGCTCAGAGCAGTAGGGGCTGCAAGAACAGCTCACCGCCCTCTCTCAGGCTATAGGAAGCTGGGTCGCAGGCCCAGAGCACAGTGAGGAATGGGCTCCACGTGCCTTAGAATGGACGGCCAGATTTCTCAGGCCCGCTGGAGGGCTCGTCCCTCTGGGGTAACCTCCATGCCCTGAGGCCTGGCAGCCCCTGCCCTGTCTTCCAGGCATGGTTTTTGGGTGTCAAGTGGAGCAGGGAGAGATGCCCAGAGGGAAGGGAGGGCTGCGACCTCCGGCCAGTGGACAGGTGTAAGTGCTGTTTCCTAGCTCCCTGTCCCTCCTGTCCAGGTGGAGGGGCTGAGGCTCTACATTCCGTTCCCTGGGCCTCGCGGGCAGCCTCTCTGCAGGACTATTGGAAGCACGCTGGGCCTCCACTGACGGAGGCCATCGGGGTGGGCCGTGTGGCCCCTAAGGACGCTGTCTTGCCTTCTAGTCTCCAGATGGGGACCTCAGCTCAGCTCTGCCCAACAGTCACGTTCTAGAAGAGCCACAGAGACCGCTGGCCAGGCTCCCTGTGTTTCACACAAGGAGGTGGGATCCACGGGGGGCAGTGGTAGGATGAGACCTAGACCCGTTTCCTTGCAGCACACCTGCTCTGCTCTCTTCGCCTGCAGTTGCTGTCTTCTGTCTGGAGCACAGGGTACCTGTCCCCGGGAGCCCAGGCCCATCCACTCTGAGCTGTGTGCCAATGGGCTTCCTGGCCCCAGAGGCCTTCAGGGCCCTTGTGCAGAGGATGCGGGTGTGAAACTGACCTCTCAACAGAGGACCCATGTCCTGTCTGCCCGCAGTCTCCTCCTTGGACCCCTCTGGCTGGAGACTGACAGGGGAGAGGCCTGGAGCCAACTGCTAGGGAGAGACGTGCAGAGCGTGGGAGGTGACCCCGACTTTGCAGACAAGCCTGAGTCAGAGCCCGGCTCCACTGGACTCACACCAGGGTCTGGGCACAACCTTGGCACCACAACCCTGGTGCCTCATTTTTTGCACTTACAGAACGTTACAATTCCTGCCCATCTGCCTCCTGGTCAGCTTTAGAGTTTGCCCAGAGCACGCGCAAGAACAGAATGCTAGTGTTAGCATGAGGGGAACCTCTCAGCGGCACTCCTTGGAGGCTACTGGGATTTCTCCATAGTAACACTGTGCAGGTGGAGGGCACAGCCTTGAATCGGCCTGGATGAGCACAGCCTTCCTGGGACAGGCTCCAGGACCAGTCCTGGCCGCCTCCATCCCCAGATCTGTCAGGCTGTCAGCACCTGAAACGGGGCCTCTTCGTGAGGCCCAGGCGCTGTGCCCACCCCTGAGCACACTCACAGATGGGCCACCAGGCATCCCCCACCTGCCTGGGTCTCACCACCCACAGTTCTCCTGTCTTCCCGGCAGGCTGTTTGATGTCGGGGGCCAGCGATCTGAACGCAAGAAGTGGATCCACTGCTTCGAGGACGTCACGGCCATCATCTTCTGCGTCGCACTCAGCGGCTATGACCAGGTGCTCCACGAAGACGAAACCACGGTGAGTGGCCCTGGGCATACCGGATGGGGGCATCATGAAGGGGGCCACAGAACTGGCCACTCTGGGAACACTCGGGCCTCAGTTGCCCATGCGGCCCTGGGGTCCACCCAGCCGCAGTGGCTGGGATCCTATGATGGATAGGCTGTGAGGCCCAGTCTGTCACTCTGTGTTGCCAAAACAAAGGCCTTGGGACGTGCACAAACTGGTCACACAGCTCTGCAGAATTAGGCTCACGGGCGCCGCCTCTTCTGTAAACTCAGTGCAGTCACTGAGCCATCAGGCCAGGACAGAATTAAACAAATCCTAACTATCAGGGTGCGGCCAAGCAAGAACGTTCACACAATAGAAATAGCTGTTTTAGCCTGACAGCCCTTTCTGGCACTGGCCAGGGTGCTGCGGAGGGATGTATAGGGTCAGTACCCCGGGAAGGGCATGGGGATAGGGTGTACTGGTGAGTGACAGGTGGCTCTGAGCTCCGTCTTTGCGGGATGCCAGGTCAGGCTCCCACCTTCTTTCCATAGGTCACATTCAGCCTGGGGCCTCTGGTTTTGGCCTCTGAGAACTTCTAGACCCACTTTGGAGGGGAACAATCATTGGGAAAACAATGCGGACCATGTCCTTTTCTGCTCCGTTACTGTCGCCCTGTAAAGGGAGAGAGTGATAGTCACTGCCTTGTCAGAGGAGCTAGCAAGGCAAGAGATGACGCACGTGTCACACTTGGAACCGCTTCTGGCACAGTGGGGCTGAGCTGATGGTTATGTGGTTGCTGGTGATCGTTCTTAGCCAGGTGGGCGGTCCCCACCTCTACTGCTGCCGCCGTCGCCGCCACCACCACCGGGGTCTTAGGCCTTCCTTTCCTCAGGATCTGTAAGGGAACCCAGGCCTCGAGTGTGGCCCACAGGGTCACTGGAGATGAGCCGCAGAGCAGGGCTCACAGCTGTGGGCTCACACCTGGAGATGAGCCGCAGAGCAGGGCTCACAGCTGTGGGCTCACACCTGGTGTCTGTCTTCCTCCCATCTGAACCCTTAGCCCCTGAGCCTTTAGGTCACAGTGGGGTTTTGAGAAAGCGCTCCTCATGCTGGCCATGAGGAAGGCAAGTCTTTCCTGTGGGTTCGAGTTTCCTCTTCAGCCCTGGCCTTGCTGCCCCCACAGGCTGCTGTAGAGATGGGATAAGCTTTGGGGTATGGGCTGCTGGGTGCAGTGTTCTGTGGGAAGGAGCCGCCGCCCTGAAGGGCTCACTCCACCATGGTGGGGCTTTGGCAGATGGGATTGGAAGCTGCCAGCAGGGTGGGGTTCCGGACCCGCGCGGCGTGCTGACTCTCGCTGGCTGGGCTTCAGCTGTGTTTTCAGTGGCCTCGGTAGGCGGTGGTGTCTAAGAGGCACCAACCTGGGCCTAACACTTAGTGTGGGGCAGATGCATTGTGGGCCATGCTTAGACCCAGACTCAGTGCACACCCAAAGCCCAGCACTGCTCCGGGAGATGCATCCCTGAGAGTGCCTGCCCCGGCACATCCTTCGCTGCGCTCAGTGGACCCTGTGCTGTCAGAGCCACTGTTCCTGTCCCCTTGGCCACGCCCATTGTGTAAACTTGGCTCGCTTCATCTTTTCTTCCGGCCACATCTGCAAGTAGCTGCTGCGTGTCACCGTGGGCTTCAGGTGACAAAGCTGGAGGCCGGGGGGGAGGCCCTTCTCACGGGGGTCTGTCCACGGGGCCGAGGCTCTCATTAACCTCTGGGCACAGTACAGATGCAGGGGGATGTCTGGGTGGGTCTGGCAGCCCTAAGCACCAAGCTGCACAGCCCTCAGGTCTCCAGGGAATTTGGGCGCTGAGGACAGTGCCAAGCCAGCCTCCTCTGAGGGCGCCTCGTGGGTGCTGCTGGGAGGCCCTGTGTCCGGGAGCACCTTCCCTTCGGTTCCCCCTTCCTCTCCTAACTGCTCCTCCCACCCCTCCCTCACTTCCCTGCTGCTCTGCTGTCTCCCTGCCCCTCTCCACGAAGGCGGGAGCACAGGACCTCAGGGAAGCAGGAACGTGTCTTTCCTGGACCTTTTCCTCCCCTGCACTAGCCACCTGCAAAGCGCAGGGAAGAGCAGCAGCCCTCCATGGAATGGGGTTTGGCTTGGTGACCTGACAGCAGCCCTCAGGGACAGCTCACTACCATGGTGGTGACAAGAGCGGTGCCATTGCTGTAGGACCAAGTAGTCGTCCGTGTGTCCAGGGCATGGATGGGCAGACATGGGGGGACATGGGCAGCTTGTGAGTCAGATGGGTCTGGTCCAGGGTCTGGGACCACTCTGTAAGCTGTGACCATCGCGCCCCCAGGGGCCTCCTCTGTAAGTGGTGGCGATGGCACACTGGGCTTGTGATGAGTGTGAGACCTCTGGGCCCAGACCTGTAAGAGGACCTGAATGTGGGAGGTGTCACTCCGTAAAGGCCAGGTCCTGGTCCTCTGTCCAGACTCCGTTGCCTCGAGGACAGGCTGTCGTGTTCTTCCCCAGAGGCAACATATAGCCAGCAGTGACCCAGTCCTTGGTCCTCAGCCTTCCTCTCTGGTCAGCCCCCTGCTTCCCAACCTGGCCTGCGGTGAGAGGTGGAGCTGCCCGAGACTGAGGTGTCTGGAGGCAGCTCTGGAGCTAGGCCATGCGGGCCCAGGGGCTAGTGGCTGCCACCCACCGGATCCATCCCAGGACCCTGAGGGCTCATCCTGTCCTCGTACCTGCTCTCAGCACCGCCCAGCCCGGCCACAGGCTGCCACAACTTCTCCACCACCACTACCACCACCACCGCCTGCAGGTCCTTATCTTGCCAAACCAAGGCCAAATCCATGAGCAGATTCTGAGAGACCCTCCAAGCCCAGCAGGTATGAAGCACCTCCCTCCAACCAGAACCGTCACTAAGAGTTGAAAGCAGCAGGTTTTCTGCACCACTGGTGACTTTGCTGTGAAAGCCTGCCCCAGCCCACTGCCCACCCACACTCAGCAGCCACTCATTCGCTCTTCCGGCTGAAGGCCCCCTTCCCCTCCACCCTCCCCCTCCAGCCGCTCGGTCCTGGTCCCAGACCTGCCTTGGCTTCTGTGAACCTGCACAGGGGCGCCAGCATGGACTGGCTGGGACTTCTGGCTCCAAGACTGGTCGAATTGACTTTTCAGTCTTTTTCCTTCTTTCTCCTATATTTGCTGCTGGGATTTTATCTCCCACTCATTTTTAATCCACTTTGCTGTGTTTCTTCTTGGGGTTCTTCTGGCCCCTCTACTGAGAAACCTGCCAACAACCAGTTCTCCCGGAGCCTCCCCCTGCCCCATCCACCACCCAGCCAACCTGCCAAATCACCCAGCCAACCAAGGCCACAGCAAGCTCGGCCCCGAGACCATGTCCCCCAGTGTCTGCTTCCAACTCTGGATTAATTCGAGGACCTCTCAGTCCTCGGTTAATGTTACCCAACTGAATGCGTGCAACCCCCCAACCTTGCCGGCCAAGCCAATGAGACCCTGGTAGAGAAGTCTGCATGACCTGCGGTTCTGTGCAACCGTGTGAGATGGTGGTTGCGGCCCCCTATGTGCATGGTGCATGTCCTCTCCAGGAGCTGAAGCCTCTCCAGTGACCTCACTGCCCACCGGGCCAGCTCCCTCTGGAAGGGGGCAGTACCTGCCACCTGCCCACCCCAGCCCCCCACCACCCTGCCTGCGTGTGGAATGAAGCAGGGACGTGTCCTGTTTGTCCTGTGGGCCCTCCCGTCTCCATCCCCAGTGACCCGCCCAGCCGCGTTGGTGGACCTTCCCTTTGCTTGTCCCGCTGTGTCGTGGCTGTGGTAGGTCAAGGCCCCCACACCGCCATCCCTCACGCACCTTCCCGCTCTGTTGCAGAACCGCATGCATGAATCCCTGAAGCTTTTCGACAGCATCTGCAACAACAAGTGGTTCACAGACACCTCCATTATCCTCTTCCTTAACAAGAAGGACATATTTGAAGAGAAGATCACGAAGTCCCCACTGACCATCTGCTTTCCTGAATACACAGGTAAAGACCTCTGCTGGATAGCAGGGGCCTGCATAGCCCCTTCAGGCCACACGGGCTGCTGAGGGAGCAGGCTGTCCTCCTCACGGTACCCCGCCCCGCCCCAGAAGCGTGCCACAGTGAAGCAGCTAGAACAGCTCACCAGGCCGGGATCCAGGCTCCCACTTCTAACCACGTGATCTCAACAACCCTGGGGAGCCTGAGCCCTCCTCTGTGAATAGAGACTGTGTGTACAGTGGGGACACCAAGGTGACCGTCAGGGACAAGCTGGGGCTGAGTCGAGCTACTCAAGGTCTGGCCCTGGTTTGGCCACTCATGAGCAGGTCACATGGCTTCCCTGTGCCTCGGTCTCACATGTGAAGTGCGATGATCGCCATGCCAGTCCTCTCTCCCTCATGGAGCTGCTGTGAGACGAAACGAGCTAACGCTCACACACAGCACAGCATGGTGCCTGCCGCTCACTCTCAGTTTGTGCCCACTCCAAGTTTGCTCTGACCATTAGGATAATGATGGTGACAAAGAAGCATTCGAATAGTACCTCCCACATAGGCTGGCTAAGAGATCCAAATACTGTATTGAATGTATGACACAGCCTTGCAAGCTGCAGAACGTGCTGGGGACAAGAGGCCAGCTGTCCATACTGCAGTGGTTTTAGCCAACCCTGGGCAGGTGGGCAGACTGGAGGCAGTCTGACCAGGGTCCTGAGGAGCTGTGAGGCTGGCCGTCCTGGTCAGGTGGCAGCAGGGATATAGCAGGGCCCCCGGTAGCCCAGTGCTCATCAGCCCTTCACGATGGCTGGGCCCCGTCCAGAGAGCTAAATAGAAGGAGGCATTCTCTGCCTGGCCAACCCTCAGGCCTGCAGGACATAAAGCAGGGGCACGCAGAGTCCCTACAGAGCGGGCCTATGAGCCATGGCCTGCGGTTGGGCAAGCAGTGCAGCCCTCTTTACTTCCTGTCCTTCCCCACCCCCACCCAGTTTCTCAAAATCAGGCTGACTACCCTACGGGCCAGGATCCCAGGGCCCTCTGGCCAGAGGGAACAGAGCTCAGCCTCCCTCACAGCTACGTGCCCACCAGCCAACTTCCTCTCTAGCCATAAGTTGGAGACCTGTGGATCCTGTCTTTGGGGCAGGAGAAGCAGGTGGAGTGATTTGGTCACCAAGACCAGTCTGGAGCTGGGGCAGAGAACGAGGTGCCCCCTAACTGAGGGAGTCTGAGAGTTCCCTGCTGTCTTGGGGATATTTCCCTTACCTCCAGCCCAGATTTAGCAGATCTGTAGTCTGGTAGACCCTCAAAGCCAGGCCTGTGGCTGCATTAAGGTGTTTGAGATGGCTGCAACCCTTCCCCCAGGTACAGCACCTCAACTTAACCCTGTACTCAAACTCCGGTTCTCTTCCCTGCCTGTCCCGTAGTGAGTGGCTGCGGCCCAGCCTGCGCAGACGGTGTGCAGTGCAAAGCCAGGGTCCCACTCTTCTGCTCCTCCCCAGGCCAGCAGCTGCTCTCCCAGACACCCTCTTCTGGGTCCTGGGCGGCAGATCAGTATGGTGCATCCTGAGGAAGAGGCAAATGAGCAAGCTCGGAATTCTCAGCCCTCTGAGAGTGAGCGCCGGAAGAGGGGAGGGGGAGGGGGAGGGAGAAGGAGGCCAAGGGGGGCTTACAGACAACACACTCACCACAGCAGATACAGACCATCATCCCACCTTGCCCCATAGCAGCTGGGTGGCTGCATCCTGGCTATTCTGCCCCAGTGCCCACAGAGAGGGTACCCTGCATGAGACTGGCACCTTTGAACTTCTCTGCTCATGACCCATGGTACAATGATGTAAAGGTGACATCCGTAGGAGTCGGTAGGTATGTGTAAGAGGAAAGCAGCGGTTTTGTACAACTGCACTGACAGGTGATGGCTGGAAAACCTCGCGGTCTGCTTCAGTGGTGGCGAACCCATGGCACATGTGCCACGGCTGGCTGTTTGTTACCACTGAAAACTCTTAACGGGTTCAGCATCACTGGTCTTTTTCCTTTCATGGTCGCTAGCCTGGATTTGAAAGGCCGTCAGAATTGCTTGGCACACTGTTGGAGCTGAGCCCTCGGCCTCCCCACCCCACCAGCCTTTTCTGACAGGCTATCTCTAAGTGACCCCAGGCATCTGCTCCACGGCCCAACCAGCCAGGCCAGGGGCCATCCCTGCTGGGTGCCCATGGGTGGCTCCTCTCACCTCCCCTGCTGTTTCCTCCCGCAGGGCCCAGCGCCTTCACAGAAGCCGTGGCTTACATCCAAGCCCAGTACGAGAGCAAGAACAAGTCAGCCCACAAGGAGATCTACACCCACGTCACCTGTGCCACGGACACCAACAACATCCAGTTTGTCTTTGACGCCGTGACGGACGTCATCATTGCCAAAAATCTGCGGGGCTGTGGACTCTACTGAGCCCCAGCCCCCGGCCCAGATGCCCATGCCCTGCCCAACCCCCACCCACTCTTCCCTGGAACCAGAGCTCTGCCACTTCTCAGACCGCTCTTTGCACTGAGGAAGAAGACCCAAGAGGCTGGCACCAGGGGGGAGGAGGGAGCGCCCTTCATGCACCCCCACCTCTACCCCTCCAACAGCTGGATGCGCGGTAACTGGGCTGGACAGGGGTGCTGAGCGCCGTGCCATGCACCACAAGGCAGGAGACCTCCTCCTAGCGCCTGGGTGCCGCTCCCTGGCCACTGCTTTGTCTAAGTGTTTTGTTCAGAGGCTGGGGTGTGGAGTGTGTGAAGCTGCCATTTGATCCAGAATGGGCATGTCTTGTACTCTGTGGCGCTTATGGAAGTTCTGAGGCCTCCTGCCATCTGGGTGTTCTGGTGGCAGGATGGCCTACAGCAGCATGCAGGCAGCTTGAGGGGCAGTAGTAGCCGTCCTTCAGCTTTGCGTGGGCTCTGTCTGGTTGAGTGCTGCTCCGTCACCAAAAGCCAGGGTGGAACCAGGCCAACCTCGTGTGAAGTGAGGGCTCAGGTCTTGGCGGGGTCTCCCACCTCCTCTGGTCATCTTCCCCTGCCCTTCCCCCAACAGGAGCCCCAGTCCTGACTGCCTCAGGCCTGGAATGCTCTGAGAACGACTGGCTGCAAAGGTGGGTGGCTGGAGTCCAGTCCTGCATCAGACAGAGTTAAGGAACAGGAGGGAGGCCCTTGGGCGGGAGGCGGAGGCAGCAGCACAGAGCTCCAGCTGGTCTCCTGGCACAGTGGACATACTTTTGCTTCTTGAAGTCAGCAGTGAGCCCAACTGAAACCAGCAGGGATGGGCAGAGCCCTTTGAGCCGGGGGTCCTGGCAGTAGGAGGCCTAGGGGCGGTGTGGGCCATGCCCTGCGGCCAGTGCCCCCACTTGGCTCCATCTTGGTCCAGAAGTCAGGAGGCCCCCGTTGTCCTCCCAGCCTCCAACAGCAGAGGAGGACAGGTAGAGGGAACCAGTGCCCTGGAGTGTGAGCTCTGAAGGCCCAGGCCCACTCGGACGCAAAACCTGGCCCCCGGAGGGGGAGGAGGAGTTTTGCTGCAGAAGTCCCTGAGTAGAGGTGGGTGGCTTCTGGTGATCCTAGCTCTGGCTGGCCTTGGGCAGTCAACATACCTGCTTCTGAGTCCTGGGCTCCTCCAGTTGCTTGATGCCATAGCCAGTAGCCCAGGCGGATGTGCCACAAAAGGGCGGAGGGCTGCCTCCTGAGAGGCCTCTGCCTCCTCCGCAAGCCCCATGGTCTCCTCGTCTCCTCTCTAAACACAGCTCTGTCCCAAGCCAGGCAGGGTCCCTGGGCAGCCCCCTGACCTGCCTGGGAGCCAGGAAGAGCCCCATACCTACAGCTTTGCATTTGTTGGCTCTGACGGGCACAGAGCTCTGGGTGGAGCAGGAGATCCTGGGGCCCTGTCTCGTGCCAAATGCCTGCTTTGGGGTGGCCCTCCCTGCTCTGTCTTGCAGCTGCCTCTCGCAGCCAGGCTGCAGGAGCCAGCCCACCCACCCCACTCATCACCTGTGTGTTAGCCTCCATCACTTCTGAACCTCGTACCAGGCACTGGCACACGGCCGAGGACGGGCCCTTGGCGCCAGTCCTGTCCATGTCCTTCCGTGAGAGGCTCAGGTCTGTTGAACCACTTTGCCCAACACTGAAGTCACGTGGGTGAGGCCAGCTGTGTCCCCCATTCCACCGTACAGTCTGGGCCCAGAATTGGAAACACTTGAAGAGAAGGAGATTGGCAAATGCCTTCTCTAAGGCCATTGCCCCTCGGTGGAAGTCACAGACCTGTCACCCCCGGGCTCTTCATCTCCCCCACTGGCCAGAGCCCCAGGCTGGAGTCAGGACACTGGACCCTTTCCTCCCCTCTGTAGGGTTAGGGGGCAGGTGCTCAGGGCCTTCCCGCTCTGCCCTCAGACTGCCTTTTTCTTCTCTCAGATGCTCTGTCCTGCTCAGTTGTCTCACACTGCTTTCGACTGGTTGTCCCACCCCAGCCTGCCAAGGGAGGGCCTTTCGGTTGCCTAGTGTAAGCCCTCAAGGAGAGCAGACCCAGGGGCGTCTCCCTGAGCACCACAGTTCCCAGCCATGTCGTCACCAGTGCCTCTCCCACGGGGCGGAGGGGAGCAGCTGGGGGTGATGTGGGTTTTGGCTCCGTCGTGGATAAGGATGTGGGGGGAAGTGTTGCGAGTGACCGGGCAAGGGTGGATTGCTCATCCACAGTGGCCCTGGGTGTGTCCCCAAAGAGGCCATGCTAGACTGTGGCTCTAATTTAGCAGGCCGAGTGGAAGCTGACTTTTAGGAAGGTTACCTTTGCCAAACTGGTGAAAATGTGCCTATCACTTAGATGCCTAGGAGCAAGCTCCGTGCCCTGCCCAGTAGCAGTCCCAAGAACCAGGCCTCTGAGTTCCCTGCCTGAGTGGGGTGGGGATATTTGAGGCCAAGGACTCTGGCCTGAGGAGCCTATGTCCTCACCAGTAGCCCTGGCCTTCTGGGTCCCCTGTCTTAGTGCTGTCTCTTTCTGCCCCCACTGGCCTGGCTGAGCCCAGGCAGACCTTCACTGTGTCCAGTGCCAGGAAGCAACTCTGCCTGCCAGCCGCTGCGCCCAGCCCATCCCCACACCCTACTGGTGGGAACTGGAGGCGCCTCTGCCCACAGGAACCGAGAGGCAGGCGGCAGCCTAACACCTCCCCAGCTCTGTAGCCAGGCTGTCCGCGAAGCCCCAGCAGCCAGGGCCCTGGCATCGCCTCACCAAGCCTTTCCTTCCACCAGCAGGATTACACCACAGCCCCCTGTCATGCCCCAGCGGCAGACTCTTCTTTCTGGCCAGCCTGCATCTCCCTGCCACCTTGTCACCATCTGACCTAGTGTACCCTTAAACCTTCTTGACATGTAATCCCAAAACCCAGCTGACATAAGGAGTCCCACCTCTTCCCTCCAGACCCAGTAGCAGCTGCCCACCCGCTACTGAGCTTCTCTGGCTGCCTGTGCTTCTCTCTGACCCTTCTAAAAGCCTCCAGACAGAGCCAGGCAGCTCTCAGGAGCCCACACCTGAGGCTCCAACCCCATATAAACAGGATTGACCTGGGGTGCTGAAGGTTAGCACTCCAGACCGTTGCCCCTGTCGGGTCACAGGCAGAGAGTGAAGGGTCCCAGCAGCCCAGAGCACAGGGCCAGGGTGTGAGCCATGACCCTGGGGCCTGGGGCCCAGCTCCCTATTCCCCAGTCCCTCAGTGGGGAGAGCCTTGCATTTGATTTACCCTCCCCAGAACGTGGAGCTGGGGCCTCCAGACAGACCCCACCCCAGGCAGGTGAAGTCCCTGTCAAGGAAGAGGTAGGCGGGAGCAACAGCACAGAGACTGGCCCCATCAAAAGTCCTAGGCCCGCTCAGGGAGGGGCGCCCTTTCCAGGGTCACTGCCATCCCCAGTTCCTGCGCACCAGGATCAGCAGTGCATGCCTCTCCTCACCTGGCTCCCATGCCCAGCTCCTGAGGCCCCACATCTGCCCTCCACATCTGCCCTCCACATCTGCCCTCCCTGTCCTGGGCAGATACACCTTCACCTGCTGGTCTCTCCCCGCCGCTTCTCACTGGTGCCCTAGCTGTGCCTCCCCCTGCTGGGTCTGAGGCGAGGTGGGCCTGGCACCCCACTCCCACCTTAGCAGAGCCTTACCTAGGTGCAGTGGTCGCACCTCCCAACCCGCCACTGCCATCCAACCCATATTAACTGTAATTTTGCAAGAAGAGTGACTTGTTGGTTTAATAAATCTCTAGTTATTGTAATAATTTATTGGCTGCCGTAATGTATTTATTAGTCACCTATCGTTAATAAAAAGTGCCAGCTCTTTCTAGCGTGTAATGTGTTGTGTCAGTCAGTGCCCAAGGAGCTTCTGCCAGGCGCACAGCACATCTGTTCCTGTGCCCTTCTAGGACTGTGAGCAGCCTGGTGGGGTGGGCATAGGCCTGCTGGATTCCAGGTGCCTGGCCGCCATGCCCACCTCAGCCCTGCTGTCCTGGGCCCAGCCACCATGCAATCTAGCATCCCAGTGCTCTGGCATGTTTGGTGCTAACGCCACATGGTCTGGTGCTGGCACAACTTCCTTGCTGCTCTCAGGTTTCACTCGGGCTGGGCAGGTGGGGCACTTGGGGTCAGACAGCTCTGAGGACAGCTCCCATGGCTCCGCGGGAAGGCAGTAGTGAGCAGGGGAGGGTGGCTGTTTGCCATCTGTGACCGCTGCTTTTCTTTTCTCACGTGTTAGCATCTCTGATTTGAACGTACTCGGCGTGTTCCTCCTGGGAAGCTTGTCAGGACGCGCTGTGCTCTCCGGTCCTTGGTGACGGGGTCTGGAGGGGTGGGGCGTGAGGGGGGTCTCAGTGCCGGCGCCTCACTCCACAGCCCCCTCTTCACTGCACTCGCCAAGTTTCCAGGATCCACCTTTCCAGGTCCACTCCAAGCTCCTGCTCTCACAAAGCAGGCCTGACTGTGCAGGGCCTCTGTTCACCAGGCCCTTCCTCCTTGCTCCCAGGACCCCAGACATGTGTAATGTAAGTGCACTGTCGCTGCCCCGCTAGACTGTGAGCTCTCCTAGGGCAGGAGCCTGGCCGGGTCGCCCTGCGTCCCTGTGGCAGCCCAGCAGAGGGCCTTGTACACCAGGACCCGCGGTTCTCAGCTGAAAGAGAGAGGGAGCAGCCCCGCAGCCCGGCAGAATGAGCTGCTGTGGAGGGCTGAGCCTCAGCAGACGGGGACCTGAGAGCGTCTGTGGACTGGCCTGGAGTCCTCATGCAACCTAAGCTCACAGACACTTGGGGAGAAAACCTTCAGCCCAGGCCATGTGTCAAATGAGCGCAGTCCACATTTTCGGTGCAGGTCATCCTGGGTTCCCCTTCTGGTGATTCCCTTTCGGTCCTGGGAAGGCCAGACCTCCCCACAGACACCTGTGCAGTAGAACTGGGAACTTGCCTCGGGCTGTGGGTTTTCAGCTCTTCCTTGAGCAGCTGCGGGATGCTCCTGTGTGGTGGGAGCCCTTTCCCACGGAAACCTTGCGGTCTCAGAGTCTCACCACCGGTGGTGTCCCAGTGAGCCTTGGGTGTTCCCTGCTCTGGGTCCTGAATGTGGTTCACTTGGCTCTAGGAAACTACCTGCCCTTTCTAGAGTGGACTCCACCATTCTGCTTCTCCGTGACAGGGATTGTGTGAACGAGAGGGAGACTTTTGGGAGGAAATGGGAATGAAACTCATTGGTTGAGGCTGGAAATCGATGAAATCGTAAGAGGTTGCCAAATGTGTTCAGTAGACTCAAAGGACAATGGGATTGGCTACAGATCCTGAAGGAGGCTAAGGCCATGCCACATATCTAGGCTCTCCCTGGGGCCTCTGAGCACTCTGCCCCTCCACCAACCAATCGAGCCTATAAGAAACAGTGCTCACAGTCACTGATGTAGTACTGCAGCTGTGGGAGAGATGACGGGAGGAAGGGCTAGTCATAGGTGTGTGGGGCCAGCCATGCCTGTCTCGTTATTTATTCAGAAGTCCGCAGACTGCTCAAATTGACTAGAGAAACCATTGCCTAAGTTCTGGTTCTCCCCAGAGTCAAGTACAAGTCTCTTCTACGTCTCTCTTTTTATAATGTGGTGCTAAGAATCAAACACTGAGCCTCATAAATATCACCACTGAGCTGCATCCCCAGCCCCAGCCTTTGCTCTTCAGGGTCCCAGCTTTGTCCATTTCTTTCCCCTAAGGGCTGATGACATTAGGTGACACAAGGCAGGTGAAGAGCTAGGCACAGAGCTGCACGGACTGGGCTTTGCTGACCAGTGCGGGTCACTTCACCATCTTCCTCATCCTCCTGACAGAAGACAGTCATGGCTGCTGAGCCAGCAATTTCCCCGGCTC